TTGAGAACTTTCTCATCAGCTCCCCAGGTTCTACCAGCAAGATTTTTTCATGATTGCCATTCTTTGCCTTGCTCTGATTCTACTTGCCTCTGTGTCTTTCATGTCAGGCGGCAATCAAATGTGACACCTAGTATTTTGGATTGTTCTCTTGATGCCGTATTTTTCCATTTATTGCTAGCTTAGCTGGCTTTCGTATTTTATTTTTTTTTACGGGGAACACAGTGCATGTGGTTTTCTATACATTTATAATTACTAGCCATGTTTTTTACTATTCATCTAACACTGATAAGGCTTGCTGCATTATGTTGTTCGCTGTACTAATATTGCCTTCTCTAGTCCATATAGCTAAGTCGTCTGCAAAGAGCTAGATGTGTACTAACTACTGGCTGGAAAATTATTGGAAATGTCACTTATAGCATATGCTAAAAACAATGTTTGTGACAATTCTCCCCCTTGGGGTATGCTTTGCTCTAACAACATTTTTTTTGGCTAGTTTGTCCTTGTACTTTTGTCCTGGTCATCAATTCTCAAGGTAATGGCTGATCCAGTTGTACATTTTCCTACAGAACAGTAATTTTTTTTTAGTTTTATTTTTTTCCCTCCAGAATCTGTAGTTCTTTGGTCCAGTATGGTTTGTAATTTGTCCTCGTACCTCTCGGAATGCACTGATATGCTACCGGCAGTGTTGCTTTGTTTATACTTTTCACTGTCGTCGTCATGTTGCCATATTGTGTTTTAATTTTTTTACAGCATCTGTCTGTGAGCAAAGCAAATTTATCCAAGTAAGCTCGTCTGTAATTCCAGCGAGGCAATGGTTTCTGCTCTTTTGGGATATAATTCATATTTACAACAAGTTTCACTGGTCTGTGATCACCGCTTGCTAACTGTTCAAGTATACTACGATCAGTTTTGTGAAGAATACCTCCTGTCCAGAAGTCTAAGTCGGGGGTTTTTCTTCTGGTTTATTGATTAAATAGAGACTGGAGTTTATTTCCCAGTCCTCAACTTCATCTCCTCTGGTGTCAGTATCTGGGTATCCCCATCTTTCTGAGCGACTATTAAAGTCTCACACTATACTGTAGTTTGTGTCATTGATTATTTCCATTCTTTACAGTTAAAGATCTTTGTTTGCTGGGCTATATAAATTGTATATTCTGATTTTTTCCTCCCTTATCGCGATATCAATACCCATAATTTCTGTTGCGTTATTTGAGTTCACAGCTACTTCACTGCTCGGTACTGAGTTTCGAAAAAGTATTAGAACTCCCTTGTGTCCTTCTCGGTCGTCGCGGAGAACTTGATATCCTCTGACAGAAAATCTGTGATGGGCATTGAGGTGTGTCTCTTGGATGCACGCCACATCAATTTTGTCTTCATGAAGGCGTTTGTTAGAGACACATTTTTATTTAAGACTCCTTCAGCATTCCACTGTAATATGCTGAGTGTCTTGGGTATTTGGTCAATAGTTTTTACCCTAATGCCATGTGCCTTGACTCCACAGCACAGGGGTAGGTGCCCACTAGTAGTGTTGGGCGGACCCCCTTGAGGCAAGGGGCCGGTCACTATCACTGCCTGGCGGGGCTACACCAGATTAGAACCATATCGATATATTTTCATTTGGGACATCATGAAATTAAGGGCGTGTCTCTCTTCGTCTCTGGTTCCTTTCCTTCGACCTGTCCAACATGGGTGACCCTACCAGTAGCTCAGCTTTGTTTATTGTTTAGTGTACGGATCAACATCATGGCACACGGGTGTAACCTATAAGTGTTCCAGTCTACTTCTAACTCAAGCCTAAGTCTGAATAATCTCAGCGTAGTGTACGAACTTCGTTGCACCAGCGAGGATCCTAAAATACTTTGGGTAGAATTTTAACTCCAAATTTTGCCCGGGCTGCACCGCTAGGCTACTCTTTTTCGATTTCCACTGCAAAAGGATTTTTTTAACGTGCGTACAATAAACACAGGCGTCCGATCTGACTACCAAGAGACCAGGGGGAATTACTAGAAGTCCAAGTGAAAAAATCCCAGCCTTCACCGAGGTTTAAACCCAGGACCTCAAGCACTCGAGTTGGATGTCATACCCCGAGACCACAGTTACCGTCAGCATAGCTCTTAGTGTCATTGAAGCACACAAGCTCCTCTACAACTACAAGGTGAAGATACATCAGAGGGGAACTGATGTTGAGTTGAGTCAAGAATTGACATCACAGCAGTAGGGGCATTCCTCATCTTCAGCAGCCAGCGCAGAGTTCAAGTACTGATGGTACCGGTCACAATATGGTTAAATGTCCGTCTTGCCTTTCCTCTGAGTGTAGTGAGCCGGCCAGATTCTATGGTTACACCCAGGTGCCTCATTATCTCCAGGCCATAATAATCTTCTTTCTCTAATGATTCCGTTGCTTGTTCCTAGAGGGCCTTGACCACATCTGCCTTGTCGTGTATCAATTGATCACCCAGTGGTGCAGATCCAGCCAGTATGTTTGCCTGTTCATTACCCACCACGCAGGCATGCCTGGAGAAAAGATCCAAAGTATGGTCACTACCCGTGACCTTTCAAGTTAAGCTTGCCACTCTGCTCGAAGCAACCCTGTCTTCACCTTTCTCAGCATGCTTTCAGAGTCTGTTATAATTAGGACATGTGTATGCATCTTGTTCTGCAGTTACCACCTCCACCTCCATTCTCATGCTAGATGTTGTGGTGTCAAATGTTAGGCTGTCTTGCACTGAAGATTCTTTTATGGCTATCGCAACGAACCCCCAGGCACTTCTCTTTCCTCTCAACACTGAACCATCTGTATAGATAATCAGATCATCTGGATGTGAACTGTCGTGAATCAACTGTTGGGCTTCAACCTCCGTAGCACCCCCTGCACACCTGACCCAGTAAACTGATGTATAACAGGATAGATGTTGTAAGGATTTTTGGGGAGCGAGTGAACAGTATGTCGGTACAGATTTTTAAGGTCTGAAGAAAATGGCGCAAAGAGAAGTTACTAGGGGATCTGGCCGACGCTCAACACGCGGAAAGGCGAGACGGATTTCCAATCAGACAGTTACTGGACCCATCGGAATTAGAACGCTTCGCTTGCTGCTGAAGATGGGGATAGTGCGCTTATGGGAGTGCTGTGATGTTGATTGTTATTTCACCGTTCAACTTAAAACACATAACATAACTCAAAAACGATACTAGGGAAGAAAGGATCACATCAAGAGATGAACGAACAGAATATCCCAGCTACAGCCAACCTTCAATGTGGAGACGGCACCTGAATGGTTAATTGAAAAGCGGCAGGCTTGTTGCTGAACAAATTACTTCTTTTGTTGTGTAGCTTTTTTTTTCTTCAGCGCTCAACTGTGTAAAGGGCCCCTGGCACTTTGTGTGGCAAGCACTTTGTGTGGCTAGCACTTTGGCTTTGGCTGTCACTATCTGGCTAGCATTTTGTGTGGCTAGCACTTTGTGTGGCTAGCACTTTGTATGGCTAGCACTTTGTGTGGCAAGCACTTTGTCTGGCTAGCACTTTGTCCGGCTAATCCTTTGGCTGTCACTTTATCTGGCTAGCACTTTGTGTGGCTAGCACTTTGTCTGACTAGCACTTTGTGTGGCTAGCACTTTGTCTGGCTAGCACTTTGGCTGTCACTTTATCTGGCTAGCACTTTATGTGGCTAGCACTTTGTGTGGCTAGCACTTTGTGTAGCTAGCACTTTGTGTGGCTAGCACTTTGTGTGGCTAGCACTTTGTATGGCTAGCACTTTGTGTGGCTAGCACTTTGTCTGACTAGCACTTTGTGTGGCTAGCACTTTGTCTGGCTAGCACTTTGGCTGTCACTTTATCTGGCTAGCACTTTATGTGGCTAGCACTTTGTGTGGCTAGCACTTTGTGTAGCTAGCACTTTGTGTGGCTAGCACTTTGTGTGGCTAGCACTTTGTGTGGCTAGCACTTTGTGTGGCTAGCACTTTGTCTGGTTAGCACTGTGTGTGACTAGCACTTTGTCTGGCTAGCACTTTGTGTGGCTAGCACTTTGGCTGTCACTTTATCTGGCTAGCACTTTGGCTGTACTTTATCTGGCTAGAACTTTGTGTGGCTAGCAATTTGTGTGGCTAGCATTTTGTGTGCCTAGCACTTTGGCTATCACCTTATCTGGCTAGCACTTTGTGTGGAGGATTGCCTAACATTTTAGTGCTCTCTTTATCAACAAAACATCGTTAAAATAGTGTGTTCATTATGTCCTTTGTGTAAAGTTGTATGTACCCTATTCATGTTTTATTTCCCTATCTGTATTTTTTATAAAAATCATGTATTTCCAAATATCCATATAACCAGCACTGAACATCCAATTCTTAGAAATGTGTAGTAGCCAGAAAGATCTCATTTTTTCGTTTTGCTTCTTTCGCATTCTAAATGATTAACACCTTAGGAATGAGAATCAAACGGCTAAGAATCCAGGAAACGCCGTTCGACTGTACAGCCCAGTTATACTGGGGCACTACAAACGGTTATAAAGTAACCAGCAGTCTAGTTTGGATAGGCTATTTATTTTTTTCTTCTGCAGTGTCTGGTCTGCGTACATATTTTCTATATCACTAAGTGAATCATACTTAAAAGTTGTAAAATGTTTATAAAATCAATATTAAATAGCCAACAAAAAATACTTGTTAGACAAACAGGAACATGCATTGTCTGAAAAAAAAAATTGGTACACCCCGATCAGAAAAGCAGGAACCCCATTCCCACTTCTTTTCTCCTAGAGAAAACATAAAGGAGGACTAAATCATGAAGGGTTGAACACGCTATGAGGTGCAAATGACTATAATTTTAGGCGAATTTCCCCAGATATTTGCAAAAAGCCAATAATTGTAAAAATCTGGCAACACCGCAAGTCGCTATAACCGGAAACATCAAAATCCTTTTCCGGTGTTTGTAGCCGTGTAATGGAGACGTTCTAAAGTCAGACCTTTACAAAATCCAGTTGTATCCTCAACGACTATCAAAGTTTCATAATGGCACAAGAGCAGATGACACTTAGAGGTACCCTCCAAGGGCATGGAGGCTGGGTAACACAGATTGCAACAAACCCACAATACCCTGATACGATTCTCTCAGCCTCCCGAGGTATGTGTATATTTTATATGGCTACTTGAGAATTTTAGAGGAATGATCTATACAATTAAGTAAACGTATTCCATTATTACTTCAATTATGCACATTTGAAACCTTAAAATAATATGGAGATAGCAAGTTTAGCATAATATACCTAAAATGTCCCGTTGGATGGTGACTCCAATTTAGAAAAAAATCACGCGTGATTACATCTCCGAAAGCGTGTGAAAAGGGGTAAATATTAAGAAAACTAAAATGACAACTTCCGTTAGCGTTTAACGACGTGGTCAGACACGAAACCGATTGTAAAGAACAAAACGAAAAATATCTCAACGGCCTTTGAGATTTAATTTCTACTACAAAATAGCGGCCTTAGTGTGCTAAAGCAAAGCTAATTGCCATGTACCACTGATTCTGATTTTTGTCCACACAGCAGACCAGGATGTTTACTGTTTAATATTTGTTCAACTGTTATGAACATTTAAATAAAATGTGTAAACGTATAGCATTGAGTGGTTTAAACTTGTTTTTTTCTCTGTTTGAAGTAAGTTTAAGGAAGATGAGAGGCTATATAATTGCACCAGGTTTTATCCCACACTGCCTAACCGAATGGCTAGTCACTTGGAAAGATCACCTGACACCAAAAGCATGGGTTCTATGGCTTTATCTAATCGTTGCCTTCCCACCACCCCCACAAGATCTGTAAACATTGAACTCCTGAATCCAGCGACATGGCCCTAAAACAAACTCACTAACTCAACATAAAAGTTGCATATCCTCTAGAGGACATTGTTAAACCAACCCTAACATGTTTTTTACTGTTTTGCTATGATTACAGCACCTACCTTGAACCTAGCTTTTTTGCTACTAAACCATACAAACATGGCACCACTGAATTATGAAGCACGTTCACAACTAAGCCACATGATGCCTACTATCTGACAGCATGATGATATTAGCACTGGGCTATGATTTGAATGATTCCAAAGTGCCATACTGATGTGTCAGAACATTAGCATACATAAATATACAACTGTTGGTAGCTATCCTTCGAATAACGGCCACATATATTGTGGCGGCCAAAAACACACCCTGACAGGGCCTCAGTCACATGTAAATTGCAGACTTCCGGCGACTGCCACCACCGTTGAGATATCCCTCGCCCTGCTACGCTTGGAGCAGTGCTAAAGTAGATGGCTGGGACTTAGGAGCAGCAGCTTCCGCATGTCCTGCAGCTTTGCTCGTGAGTCTTAGCCATCTAGTTTAGCCCCACTCGTAGCGGCGTGGGAGATACTCTCGGCGGTGGCGGTAGTCACAGGAAGTCCACAATTTACATGTGAATGAGGCCATGTTTTTGGCCGTCAGAGGATAGAACAAAGTTTATGTATTTTTTCCCTACTTTGGAGCAAACATGACCACAATGTGTGGGTGTATTTTTAATGGATTTTTTCTAAATGTTTTGTTAGGTAAGGCACTAGGAGGCCCTTTCAACACTTCATGCACATACTCTTTTTCCTGCCTCCTCCTGTTGGTTGCTATGACACAACAGTCTTTTTCCGCCCTTTGTTGTACACAGGTAAACCCCCACCCCTTCCCAAAAAATCTGTAAAATAATAGAACGCAATAAATTTTCCTGAAAACCGTAATTAAGACTGCATGTGCAAGAAATGCGAGAAACAATCTGATTGTCTGGTATGAAGCCTGCCAACCTATCTCAAGACCCATTAGTCAGTTTGGTTGGTTTATGTCAGACTGACGTATCGGGCGTGCTGTTGCTAAAGAGTTATCTGACAAAGCATGATGATATTAGCACTGGGCTATGAAATTATTGATTCCAAAGTGCCAAACTGATTAGTCAGAAGAGTACTTTATGGTACAACTGTTAGTGTTAGTTTATAAATACCTTGACTAGTCGGCAAAGACTTGACTAGCACCAGCAAGCAAATCAGCCAGAATATGAGAGCATGTATTTCTATTGTAGCAACATATGGCTGCGAGTCATTAACAACCTTTTGAGCTGAAATGCTGTATATTTTTAGAATGCTGCAAAATCAAACAATATACATCCTAAAACAGTGCTTTTCAATCGGCAGGCTTAGCTAGTGGCTAGTGATGTTCCCCATATTTAATTGTTGGTCCCTGAGTAAACCTAAACAGCCCTGTCCTGATCTAAGAGATGGCTCACAAACTTGGGAACCGCCTTTGGTTGAACACTTAAGCCACTGAGGGACCAATTAAAGTGTCTCATTACCCCTAAAGATTCAAAATCCACCACATGCCTGGTGTGGCAGAGAGCTTATTTTAGCACTAGGACTGCTGCTGTTAACACTAATATGGTAAATGTGAGTAGAGCATTAAAAAAGTATGCGTAACTATTTTTCTCTTTCTGTGTATACTTGCATCGTCTTCACTTCTATCAGGTGTCAAAGGAGATAAAATGATTGCTGTGTGTTCTTACATTATTATAAGACAAGAGACTGGTTTTCATTGCATCAGGTCTTGCAGCAGAATGGCTAGCCTTGTGTAAAGAGCACAGCAAAGATTCCATAAAGCAAATTAATCTGACATAATGTGATGATATTAGCACTGGGCTATGATTTAAATGATTCCAAAGTGCGATACTGATGTGTCAGAAAAGGCTTCAGTAAGAGAAGCTGTGCAGCAGGGAAACTCTTTCGCATATCATAAAATATGAACTAATGTGAGGTGAGTACACAGCGTGTACCCTGCCTTGTGTGTATACGTTCATTTACACAGCGCTGTCTGTTATTGGCATAGGCATGCCCTAAGTGTTTTCTAGATTTTTGAATGATGTATCAAGCATTAGCATCTAAAGTGATGATTCATGTGGGCCATGTTGAACCCAGTACATCTTCAGCAGCAGGTCGTCACTAAAGTCGCACTCTTCACAGCACAACTCAGGGTCTCTGTCTCTCTAGCCAGTTCTCCAGCCTTGTGTGCTTTCATAGCCAGTGCATCTTCTTTGTCCTGTATCAGCATTCACTTGGGTTCAGCCTCTCATTTTCTGGAAACTGGACACTGTTCTCAACAGTCCACTTAACAAATAGAAAATGACTAGAAAATACTAGAAAAACAAGAATTAGAAACCATGCACATTATCAAGTGTTGAAAAAATTATACACACACATAATAAAAATGCAGAGTTTATTTAAATTTGTAATTTGGTAATAAAAATCTACAGATAAACTTATGTCTGTTAAGGTTAAACAAAATCTTTATAATACGAAGCATAGTTTCTGACATAGCATGATGATATCAGCACTGGGCTATGATTTAAATGATTCCAAAGTGCCATACTGATGTCAGAACATAAACATTTATGTGCAACCGTTAATGTGAGGTTATAGGTTATAACTAATAGAATTTGTGACATACATATCCATTTTTGTCGCAGACAACTTTATCACCTAGACTCCTGTGCACTGAACTCAGTTTTATACTTCAACGTAGGCTTTAATTCAAGATAACTTCAATCAGAGGCACAGCCATTTTATTGAATTTATGTGCAGGTTTAAAAACAAAAAAACTAGCAATAAATTGACATAATGTGATATTAGCACTGGGCTATGATTTGATTGATTCCAAAGTGCAGTACTGATGTGTCGGAGGCTATTTAAATATACTGTTGTTAACATGGGTTTGTAATTTTCACTTTCGTAAGCATGCTCCTGGCATTTTTTTAAATGCAGACATGCAGACAGTTTTTGTGTTTGTCATAAGTGGCTGGAATTTGTGTTCTATCAATATGGCTCTAGAAACTGCAATCCATCCAGGTTACAGCTCAAAAGGGGGGGGGGGGGAGTGTGTCCAACTTTCAATTAGCAGGGGGGGGGGGGTAGTCATTAGAAACTCCCAGCACCCCTCTCCTTGCTACCACTGGTCTGGATTACCTAATGAACTTATTCGCAGGATCCTTACCTTTTTTTTTTAATAGATCCGTTTGGCTATGGGGTTGACCTAGCTTTTTAAAATCAGTAGGGAGAAATTTAAGGAGGAAGGGAACTGCCCACCCTACCTGAAGTAGCACATGTTAAAGACTTGTCATGACTCAGGGACCACTGTCATATGACTACAGTGTTTGTTGGCTTATTTTTTCCCCATCAAATAAAAAGTAACTGGGATTCTCTTTTAACAAAAAATTAATTATTGCAGACAAAAGCCTGATCTTGTGGAAACTTACAAGAGATGACACCAACTACGGCGTGCCATACAAGTCCCTTCATGGACATGGACACTTCGTCAGCGATGTTGTGCTGTCTTCAGATGGCCAGTTTGCTTTGTCTTCATCCTGGGATAAAACACTGCGCTTGTGGGATCTGGTTGAGTAAGTATTCAGAATATTGACCATTGGCACATACCTTACAATATTTTTTTTTTTACATTTGTAGGCTGTAGACCCCTGCCCCATACTGCATATACAGATGTTGTAAAAATCAAATTTAAAAAAAGAGGGTAATATGACCTTGTGCGTGTTCCAAGGGGCTACAATGAGGGGGACAACTGACCAATGCGTCCTAACAAGCTTGTCACAAGTATTGACTAATTAGTGATATTTTTCTGATTTTGGAAAGCAACCAACCATCCTGCAAATAAAATTCTGTTGAATGAGTTGACTTGTGAATGCAAAGTTGTCTTGTCTTCATAAAATACACTAATTCAATATCTTTTTTTTTTTTACACAAAAGGCAGTATGAGGTAATAAAGTTAACCCTAAATAAATTGATCATAGCTATAAAATAACCATTCTGCTAAAAGTGGGCATCAGTTAGATGGCAGAACTGTTTCTCGTGTTTTATAATAAAATTAGGTCCAGTGATGAAATTCTGTCATGCACCACTCAGACATTGTTGTATGATGAGAAACAGACACCACATATTCTATTCTGAGGACCTTTCTGTATTAAAAAAATATGAACAATTTCAAGACAGAAAATAGATAAGTAGACATAAAGGCGTCTAACATCCTGAAGAAAATTTGAAAAAAAATCCTTTTGAGTCATCGAAGTCTTGAATCTACTTAGCGATTTTAAGAGGTCACAGCACATGACTGGGAGAAAGCAGGGCATATGGATGTGAGGTTAGCAGTCATGTGCAGGACAGGACAATTCTTTGACATGTATCAGCTATGCATTCATGGAAACATCCTTGGATGACAGATAATGCCCACCATCTGCTCCTGCCTTCCTTGGATTTACAGAATTGACCAGTCTGCAACTGCTCAGATGTGTCAGGCAGCGAACAATATACCAGCTTCACTATCAACAGGCACATTTATTTTACTGGGACAGATGAAAATTGTCACTGCCACTACCTACATTTTCTTATTGTAATTTAATCTCTTTTTACGTGAACGCTGTTCTTGGGGATCTCTTTTCACTAATAATTTTCATACGTATAGTCACCTAATATAATGATTGTGTGGAAGTAGTTTTAGCTGTTCACCTATTTGTCAAAAGGGGCAAGACCACTCGCCGCTTTGTTGGCCATGAGAAGGATGTCCTCAGTGTAGCCTTCTCTGCCGACAACCGTCAGATTGTGTCTGCCTCCCGTGACAAGAGCATCAAGTTGTGGAACACCTTGGGTGTTTGCAAGTACACCATTCAGGTATGTTTTTGGTTTCTAGTGCATCCTCCTCAAATGACTGATTACCATTGTTTGTGTATGTTATGTTCTGCTTTTAGAATTGCTATGGGGGAGTAGCCTTGCACTCTTTCCTCCTGCTCTTTATTCTACAATGGAGCACAGGCCTTTGGTCTTTCTATTTCTGCTAGCACAGGCAGCTCATCTTGTTCACATCGCAACACCACTCTCTAGTTCCTCCCTATGCAGGTTATTTCACCCCGATTTTTGAGAAATCTAGAATAGACCTACTGGCTCTTTATCTGCCTGACCAGCAAGGAGCAACTGCACACAAAGCAGCCAGTCAAACAACCAGAACTTTCAGTTTTAGCTTATAGCAAGATTCATTTACCAAAGCTCCACTTAAGTAATTCTGCCATACCATTTGATTTTTTATATTCTGTGCTCGCACTAGTAAATGAATGTTAATTAGTAATGTTTCTGCTCCAGAAATTGACTACACTGACTGATAAATAATAAACAGAATAACATTGCCTCAAGCTGTATTTTAGCCTCTGCTGTCAGCACAAATGTTGAAGTCTCACTAGATTACTGTTGTGTGCTAAATTGAGTCAGCACACTACCAAGTGTCTAGCAGGTACTCTTCAGCTTCCTTTTTTAACAAGACAACTCGACGACGATGACACCGTCATACAAGTTTATTTAACAGGATACATGACACAAATGAAGAGACGTAGTTATTGATCACAGCTGACATTCGCACATCGTTCATTTGTCCTCACAGCTCTTGATCTCTCACTGTGTAGTGACCTCTCCTGGACAACTGCAGGTACCAGGACGACGGCGTCCCACTCTCTGGACGCGTCGTACAGCTGAACAGGACGACTTCTCCCATTCACTGGACCTTGATATTAATTCAGCATACAACACGGCTGACTGGAGACGGACTTCTCCTGCCGTACTCCGGAACCAGACACTACTGGTCTTCCCGTCCCCTGGACTTACTTTGCCAGCGGGACCATATTTCCCATACCGCAATCCCGACACTTACTCGGACCTAAATGCCCGATAGTCGTACGGTATTCTAGTCGGTTAGACTCCAATGACCTAGACTCCAATGACCGACAGGACTTCTACCATAAGTCCTCTCATACTTTTGAAATGTACCGCAATCCCGACACTTACTTGGACCTCAATGCCCGATAGTCGTACGGTATTCTTGTCTGTTAGACTCGAGATTACCTGGACCCTGACTTGGTCTCTGACTCTCGTTTTCTCTTCTCACTTCTCGCACTATCTTGACTACTGCCCTAAGGGGCTTTAGCCCTCAGGCCACAGCTCACTCTCTGGACTGTCTACGCAGCCCAATTTATATATGTCGAATCCGTGTAAGTGGATGGTGATTACACGAGAGGCACGCTTGTGTGGGCGTTCTCGTGAATCATGATCCTGTGGGTGTTGTCGGGACTCGCTCATGTGAGCGTTCCCGAGGATCACGCTTAGGTGGGTGGCTGATGTTACCCGAGAATCACGCTGTCACTTAATTCACACTTTTCTCGTTATCCACGCTTTCAGCCCACCATACAGAAACCCACGCGTCCACTTTCTCGTGTGCATGCACGCTTTGTTCATGAATAGACGTTTTCACTGGTCTCCTCTTAATGCTCGGATCATATTGACACTCTTTCCTCGTGAACTTGCAGGAAGTACAGGCATACCACTGTCCCTTCCCACAATATCACACTTAACCCAAATCAGCGCGCAACAATTACCCTTTTCTGTATCATTTGAATTGGAATTAGTGATTGTTATGTAAGATATAGCTATTTTGTTTGATCATTTTATAGTAGATAGTAGGTGTTAAAAAGTATTAACTTTGTGTTTATTTTTGTTTGTGTGTAGGAGGACACCCACAAGGATTGGGTATCATGTGTTCGATTCTCACCCAATGCCTCCAACCCAATCATTGTCTCTTGCGGCTGGGACAGGACAGTCAAGGTAAATATTTATTCACAAATTGTTTTATTCTCTCACAGGATTAGGACAGATCGCTACCTGACTGACATTTACATTTTACCTTTATAATGTATCCACATTTTACATCGTGCTTTAAACTTGATGTCTCTTGAGTCAAAGTGCACCTGCCTGAGAGGCAAAGGACTAACTGTTGGAAAATTATCAAATCTGAAAACGATTTTTGCTTGAAAAATCCCGACATAGCATGATGATATTAGCACTGGGCTATGATTAAATTGATTCCAAAGTGCAATACTGATGTGTCAGAACATTGAATCAATCAGCAGCTACCTTACAGAACCTCGGTCACAGCATGCCTCCAACAACTTTCCCCACCCCACCTACATAGAGGCCTGTCTTAGCATATTTTTTTTTACTTTACCCCCCACATCATCTTTTTTTAAGAATTTTATTGTGAGAGCAATCACCTTTTTTCAAGGTTTGATGAAACAAAAGTCCAAAACTTTCACGGCCGGTTATTGTAAGAAGACTAAGATCTTATTAGAGAGCACAGAATAGTAATGCTGCAAGCAGCATACCAGTATCATCTCTTTGATCTGTTGTATGTTACAAGTTGCAGCGGTCTGGTTCTCCATTACCTTCTGTCCACTGCTGTCATCTCATTATGTTTAGTCAATATACAGAGTCCAGTCCAGCCCCTTTGCCTTTCTCATTATTGTCCAGTATTTACCTATCCACAACCCCTCAACCCATTTCCTTCTATTTCAGTGCTTGTTTGCAAATTCTATGTTCCGTTTCTTCTTGTGATTTGCCCAATAAATTGCTAAAACACATGCTGTTATGGGAGACCATGAAAGTATCCAATGCCATCCAAATCCCAGCTTTCTAAATCCAGACATGGTTTGATGTTAATTGGCCTATTTGTAACTTGGCCTATTAATTATTCAAAAGGGGAAAGACCTGTATTGACAACCTGAGTGGGTAAATATTATGAGCTCTTTTAGTCGAGTGGGTTCAGAATTTGAACCATGGTGATTACACAGTATAAAGCGCATATCCCACCTCATCCCTACACCACCTTAAAAGTGTTGCACATACAGGCTGTTTTTGTGTTTGTGGAAATCATTAAAAAATATATATATATATATATACACACCCACAGTTGCTAGTTTAGCACGAAATGGTGATTAGGTTTTCAGATTGTACTGCTAGTGGTTTTGTCTTTTGTTGTAGGTATGGAACCTGACAAACTGCAAACTAAAGACCAACCACTTTGGCCACACCCAGTTTTTGAACTGTGTCACTGTGTCACCGGATGGCTCTCTCTGTGCTTCTGGTGGCAAGGTAAGTTTACACCTGTTACTTGGGAGTCCTAATGTGGTACAACATATCACACATAACCAAATGTGTGTAGCAGTAGTTCATTTCAACAGCTGTAACTAACATAACATGCACTTTAGGGCATATTGTTGAATATGCAGATCATGCCTATTGAGCTGGTGGATGGAGCACATATGGAGATGTCCTGAGTGCAGTGATGTCAGTTCTGTATTCATGTTTTATTTATTCATACGTGTCAGAAATATAATTGTTTGTTTTATTGTTTTTATTTTTAGACTTGATCCAATCTTGTGTGGAAGTATACTGGGATATTCAACATCTATGTTTCTACCGTTTAATAAAATGGTTATGCATGTGTTTTATAAATAATGGATAGGCAGACGACCCGTCAATCCTCCTGTTGATTTTTATAAACTGCCTAATGATTAACACATTTGCCTTATATTGTGTGATGATATACGGTGTTCTGCAATTATGAAGGCAGCATTGCTAGTGTTTATTTCCTTGAGGTGTTTGGTCGCATGCAGTAGTGGAAACATTAATTACTGGGGTACCGTTTTGTGAAAGTGGTGCTAGAAGCATCTCTATTGGATATTCCCTTTGTTACTTTTGGAGGGTTTGTGAAAATGGTGTTGAATAGGCCTAGATATTACATTGAGGACCCACTATACTCATTTTACTATATTTAATTTTGTAACCGCCTAATGATTAACACATTTGACTTATTAAATGTGATGATATATGGTGTTCTGCAATTATGAAGGCACTGTTGCTGTTTCTGTTTTGAAATGGGTGTGAATCCACTGAATTAAAATTTTTCTTCAAATGTCACGAATATAACATGTAATCTGTAAATGTTACCATTTCAGTTTTACGCAAGACCCAATGTTGACACAAATATTTTTATATAAGCTGCAAACACTATTTGAACAGTACAGCTGTCTATTCTGCTTGTTTAATTTTGAGCTGCTTGGTCCAGCTGTTTTGCTTTATTTAGCTTAATCTGTCATGTGTGTGCTGTTTACTGAGCTGCCTGATGATTAACACATTTGACTTATTTACAGTGATGATATATGGTGTTCTGCAATTATGAAGGCAAGCTGCAATGCTGATAGTATTTTTCTACAAAATGTGACCCCTTGATCCCACACAGATAATTTGCTCACAGTTGAACATTTGCCATCAGTGCCTTGATGTCATTTCCTAATTCTCAACGATGTACAATTCAGCAGCTGATATTAAAAATGAAACTTTTGTGTGTGTGTTTGCAGGATGGCCAAGCTATGTTGTGGGATCTGAACGAAGGCAAGCACCTGTACACCCTTGATGGTGGTGACTGCATCAATGCCATGTGCTTCTCTCCCAACCGCTACTGGCTGTGTGCTGCCACAGGACCTAGCATCAAGATCTGGGTAAATGGACCTTTTAGTTGTGTTTCCCTAGTACTGTGTATGCAGTATCTTTTAGTCCAAATTATGTGCTGGTGCTTTTTAGTTTTTTCTCTCCCTGTTCCTTTCAGTACCATGCACTTTTCTGCAGTAGCCTCTTGTTTGAGGATTACTTTCACAAAAGTGCAAAATTATATCGGCATCAAGATTTAACTTGAAAATGAGGGCATTACTCATTTTTCTTTAATCGAAAAGCCACATGTATGTCAGTCATTTATTGTAACACTACACTTAGAGCTTCAGAATAAAAGGTATAAGAAAACATTCTTGCAAAAAAGTACAATCCTAGATTTATTCACTTTACAGAGTCAATTTTCCTGTTTAGGTTTTAGTGGTGTTACAAGAAATAGTCACCTAATACTATTATCAGTTTCTCTCTGATGATCCTGACCTGTGTGTATCCTTTCTCATAAGCCTTGTATGAGATGGTGATACAAGACAGACATAATAGCACAAAGTTGGCCTAAAAAGTCACCTGGATGTTTGCTTCTGCTGCATCCGAACAGATGTTGGCCCTCTTCATTTTTTTATAAGGAATGAGAATTAGGCAGTGGCATGTGAACCACGCGTGGTAATGTTTTCCACAATTAGAGCTTAGGAGTTATCATCAAACATATATTTATGGTTTTCTTCTTAAAATTTCTGCAATCCTTTTGTCCTTTATCCCTATCATGTTTCCAGATCTTTGCAAAACGTCGCCGTCATCACAGCCTGCCTTAAAAAACCCTGTCTCTCAGCAGCTCTCCCGCCTTGTCTGCTTTCATATTCAAAGACACTTTTATCCCGTGCCCTTCTTTGTGTAGCTCTGCCCCTGTCACTTTCTTGATGTTCAGATCTTTTTCTTCTTTTTTTTGTCCATGGTTTTTGTATATCCTCACAAATATGAAAACCAGCAGTTCTTAGATAACTCATTGTGCATAAAACTCAATGTACCCTTTTTTTCCCCATGCCAGGATCTGGAAGGCAAAGTTATTGTTGACGAGCTGAAACCTGACGTGATGGCAGCTGGAGCCGGCAGAGAGCCACCACAATGTCTGTCCCTGGCCTGGTCCTCTGATGGCCAAACCCTGTTTGCTGGCTACAGTGATAAGCTGATCCGTGTCTGGCAGGTGTCTATGGCTGCCAGATAGACATACCAGTGATTCTCAAATCTCAGCGTGGAGACATTTCTGACTGAATAAAAGTTACTGGGCATCACTTAATAAGACTAATTTCTTTTTGTGTGTGTGATATGAATGAGCCTGGCCTAAATAACGGGACTGTTAAACTGTGTTGACATTTAGTCTTGGCTAGCGTTAATTTGACAGTTTAAATGTATATAGGTGGCACTAGACTGGAAGGACAGAATATAAGGCCTAATTTTCTCATAGCATATCTGTTAATGAAAATTGCTTGAGCTTAAACAGCCTGTTAAAAAAAATTTATGTCCGGTAAAAAAACACACCCCATTTTGCACCCCAAATATCTTGGGCAGATTCATAGGAACAAAATGTGTTCAGTTAGGTCTTTCCTCTTGAGCAGAGGTCATAGCTCTCCATGTCTGGCGGTTCGTTGCCATCTGTTTTAGGTCTCGGGTGTTCATTAGGCCCATAGTCTAGTCGAGCCTTCCCTGATAGTGTGGGTCTCTCTTGGTCTTCCCCTTTACTTCCTGTGTCCAAATGAGGGCGTGATGGAGGAGTCTAGTCTTATCCATTGGGAACAGACGGCCAGTTAGAGCTGACAATCTATTCTAAAACAAAGGCCGATTCACAGTGGCAGCTTGTCAGTCAATTCTTGAGTCATGCTAGAGGGAAACACATCCTGGACCGAACCGGAAATGTCTTGTACGGAGAGAAATAATTTAACAGGGAACAGGGACCCAACAAAATGGCTGCAGAAATGCTCGAGCATTTTTGAGAAGCGCACTAAATAAATACATTGATGGCAACAATGGTACAGAAATCCCATGCTCTCATTGTAGAAGACTTCAGTTTGGGAAGACGAAAGATGGCAACATTTCTCAACTGCCACTATACAGTCAGCACTCATACTTTTCAAAATCAACACAACCCAAGTCTGCTGCTGAGGTGAATGTGAGATGCTGGGAATGTATAACATAACCCTTAAACATAGCTGCTGATTCATTATATAATCTCTGGAGGGATATTAAAAATATAGGATTTAATCTGTGCTAATAATGCAGAAACTTGGACAATGAATAAGCAACTAAAGGTCATATTTCATGGAAACATGAAACCATCCCAATACAGAGGTTCTGAAACAACTGAATGAAAAAAAATACTTTGGCCACATTAACTATTTGAGTCCCATAGGGCTTAGCTTTGGATGGTAATTTCCACAAAACAGCAACATGTACATCAAAGAGACGGGAGGTGTTGAGGGATAATAGAATACTGCTACAAAATAAATTGTATTAGTAGTTAATTATGGGTAAATAAACAGATGGGATGTTTCCTTCAAAGTCAGAGTGTGTCTAAGAGGCAAGGTACCAATACCAACAGTCTGCATTCAAATAGATCTGTAAAATGGATGTGCACTCTGGTTCTGGAACAAGTCCATAGATGGATGAACACCCGAACTTTCTGCCGGAGTTTACAGCTGGTGAATGAGAAGGAAGAGATGGTATGTTTAAAGGAATTAGTAAAAAGAAATAATTTTGCCACTTACCACTCACGGAAAACTAAAATATATCCAAAAAGCATTACAAATGAAAATGAACCACTTAGTAATGTAAAAAAAAATATCATTGGCTCTGCGTGAGGTATATATCACAGCTATCCCTCACCGGAGTTTGACTATTACAGACTGAAACAAGTCTACTTCGTAACTTTCTTTGTCAAACTTCATATAAACCTAAAAACACTTGTTTTATTTCAATATATGAGGCTTTTAAAGTCATGAATCCTGTTGGCATGCATGAAGTCTGCTTGGAGGCAATATTGTTTTCACAAAAACTCAATAAAGCTCACAGACATGCTACATTTGATGGTTTCAAATATTCTCCCCAATGGTCACCATGTGTGACATAAAGAACAGGAAATACCATTCAAAACTGCCGGTTTGCATTGTTACACAGGCCAGTGTACATCACATCGTGCACCAGTTGGGCGGCTGTGTAGTAACTGATTAGCGCATGGTGTGTCCCCTGGGACTCGAAGAGTTAAAAGGACAACATCAAGAGATGCACGGGCAGCAGTCAAAGAGTGTACAATCAAGACAAGAGACAGACCATATTGGAAATCCACTACAGCCAACTTTTACGGTGGAGACGGCACCTGACTTGATTGAATGATGAAGTAATGATGAAGTAAAAAAAAACTGAAAACGTGGAGCATTTTTAATAAATACTGGAAAACTGCAATGCTTGGCACACACTGCTTTACTTTGATTTTAAATAAATACAGCTGACAATCCTATATATATATATATGTATATATTCGCGTGTGTGTGTATATATATGCATATATATATATATATATATATATATATATATACACACACACACACAATAAAATTTATCCCAAACACCAATGATTTTAATTAGTAAATAGATACTTAAATTCAAGTTTAAATAAAATCATTTATCTATGTACTGAAAATAATATAAATTTGTTCACGGAGTCAACTATACATGAAGCAAACTTTCAATATAATTGTAAACCTTGTTAATCCTTGGAACTGTAAATCTGGTAATGTTCTGAAATCCTGGGAATGCTCTGACTGCTGTGATGTCAATTCTTAACCAAACACATTGATTCAACACCATATCCTAATGTCCATCTATATCTCACAGGCATTAGAGCTGATCTGGTGTTATAGTAGCATCTTGACTACAGCATATTTAAATAATAGCCACCCTTTGTCTTCAGCTGGCATCTCTCTACAGCAGTACTGTCCAACTAGTAAATCTGGCCAGCAGCGGCCGAACAAGTGGCCCTTGGATCACTTGCCAACTGTATAGTTTTTCTGATCTTTCTACAATAGGACTCGGGCCACTGGCCCAAGACAATTGTACATTTCCAACACAGTAAACTTAGTTGGATGCCCTGCTACCACAGCATGCAGAGAGCATGTCTCTAGCAAATTTTGAGTATTCTGAATCCCCAGTCTTGAATTTCTTGTAAATATGACTGCTATTAAACAATAAATGCTTTTTTTTAATCTATAAATTTGCACCCCCAAAGTATACTTCACTTGCCAACATAAGATTTACAAAAATGGATATGCGTACAGTAATTTGATTCGAAGGAAGACATAAACATCTGGTTAAAGTGACAAAATAAAAATATGCAAAGAAATAAGGCCAACATTAAAAAAAAAATATCTAAAAGCAAAGCAAAAATACGTGGATGAACATGTGGCACTGACTTGGGAGCATCGTTTTCGTTTTTCAAGAGCAGCTCTGAAAGTCTGAACTGAAGGAATACTACAGACCACTACCGCAGTGGCTAGATGCTTGCCTGTCAGTTGAACAGTCTTAGGTTCTCCCGTAGAAACTGAATAGGGAAGTATTTATTTTCAGTGGCCACACACATGTCAGAAATTCAACTGGACAGGAAGATACGTGATTCCTTTCTGAGACTCTAATGTCATCAACCCATCTTCTCCTACAGCCTCTTGCTTTCACTTTTCATGAGTAGCGCCTTTGGTGGCAGTTGTTCTGGCTGGATTCTTACTAGATGACCAAATCATTTTAACTTCAATGAAGTGGCTGCATGGTGCCATTCCTACAGTCTGTCTGATCTCATAATATTTATAACGGTGTCGAGGAATTTAAGTATTTGGGAGCAATTTTTACTTCAGACGGAAAACTGGACAGAGAAATTAGCTCCAGATGTGCCAAAGCTAATCAAGTAATGGGTCAACTATCTCCCCTGTTGACACACAAGCAGATACCTCAGTACTAAAGTGAATCTTATCAGAACTATTTTTTGGCCAATACTATGCTATCAGTGCCAAACGTGGACACTTACATCCTCCAATGAACGTAAAATTGTGACAACAGAGATGAAATGCCTTAGAAGAGCTGCAGGAGTTTCAAGGAAAGACAGAATATGAAATCAGACGAATGCTAGGAATAAAGCCAGTCTTTCAGGTCATCAAAGAACAACAAATTAAATGCCCTGGTACTATCTGCCACAGCGAGCCACACTAAAACGTTACAACGGGTATAAAGCGAGTGGAAGACCTCGGAAAAGATGGAGTGATGGCATTAAGAACAGCCTTACAGAAATGAACATGAGTCTTAATAGTGCTCTTGACAGAGCTCATCAACGAACATTACATCTCACCCCGACACTTCGATGAGGTACAAGGTGGAAGAGAAGAAGAAGAAGAATAACGGTGTCAGTTGGCATACAAGTGAACTGGCTTGTTGGCATCTTGTTTCTATTTCCCGATCTATTTTCTTGTCCTCCGAGAATATACTTCCTAGATATTAAAATTATTTAACTAGCTGCAGACCAGTACCATTGATCCCTATGTGTAGCCTACTAGGAATTCTGCTGACTTGCATCAGTTTTAGAAGTATTTATTTTCATGTTATACCTTCTGCATGCTGAACTTGGCCTGTTCAAATGTTCTTGCTCTCTACTCTCCTCCTTGTAGAACAGACACCAACCATCTGCATATAGTAGCTGGTTTATCACTGTCATTCAGTGTAAAAATATTGGGGCACCACCATGTTCCCTACAGGTTTCATGGCGTGACAAGCAGTCGTTTAGTTTACTGTCATTAACAAAGATAATTGGTCAAGGCAGAAAAAAAATGTATTGCAAAAATTAGAAAATCAATTCAAAACATGAGAAAAGATTTATTACTATATGAAAAAACGATTTCTGTTTGACCTTAAAAGGGCAGTTGCCAGGTTGTGTTCTGTGACATACGACTCTTGGCCAAACACATTCAAGTGAAACAAAGCCCTTAAAAATGTGCCTTCCACAATGTGTGTGTAAAGGGCAATAGATCTTAAAGCCAAATAAGAAGATTCCTACAAAAATCTTTTCAAACAACTAAAAATGTCCCATGAAACCAACTGGCAGGGCTAACACACAACTAACTTTAACACGTCTAAAATGTTTTAAAACACACACCGAAAAACCATTAAATGGTGATGTATACCAAAGACAAATGTGCAAAAAATATATAATTTTAGAAATAAACTGAAACATCTTTTCTAATTTACAATGGCTCAATATTTAGGTAAACAACATGGTCCCAATCATGATGATAGATAGTAAATAAAGCATGAACAAAAATCACACATATATTCTTTCAGTCAGTCTTCTTGTCTGTACTCCTGGAATACCTGGCAGCGTCAGGACAGGAAAAGATCTTGGGAACAATGCCCCCCCCCCCCCCGACCTCCATGCTGTAAAAGTCGACTAATCAGGGTGTTTCCTTCACAGTCAGAGTGCACCTGCCTGAGAGATAGAGAACCAACAATCTGTGTACAAATAAGCCAAATCTGTAAAACGGACCTGCAAGCAAAACTCAGGTTCTGGGACAAGACTGAGGTCCAAAAATGTATGAACAACCACAACTTTATGCTGGGGTTTTCAGCCGGTGAATAATAAAAAAAAAAAAGACAAAAAGAAAATATACCATTTTTATTTTTCCTACTTTTAATTTCTGTCTACACAAGCCTTCCTGTTGTGTTTTAATTCTTATGTATAACTTTGCAAATAATCTTAAAATGTTTTAATAATAAAGCTCTTCAGAATGGCTGTATAAGTGAATGAAAATGGCTTGCTCCATGATACTGGCAAGTCGAATACATTTACATATCAGATGTAAATCTAAGTATACAGTTTATAACTTTGTTAGTCTGTTCCCAGAAAGAAAGAAAAGCATCTCTGTCGTCATCTTTAGTTGCTGTACGTGAGATGGACATATTATATGTTGCTTCATTGTGACCGTTTAAAGTACATCAGTACCCACAACACGAGCGTAAAAATCAAAGCAAAACAGGTGATTCAACACTAGCAAACTATACACCAATTCTCCTGTAGTACTTTTCTGAAGGGGTCAGTAGCAGTCTGACTATATGTCCATCTCATTTTTCTTCTAAGTGTTCAGTAGCCAGGTCCTGGTTTTTACTCACTGCTGCACCATTCTCTCAGAACCAGTGTTCTTCAACTCGTGGGCTGCGGCCCACTGGTTGGCCATGGAAAAGTTCAGGTTCGCTACCACAATTGATGCTTAATTATGTAACAGGGTTGAGTAGGTAGTTTTTATCTTCCAAGTCTGTAGAATTAACACCCCAAGATTGAACAAACTTTAATTTCAAAGGGTAGCAAATTGGGCACTCAGGCCAGTCTTACATTCAGCTCTTCTAAGCACTCATCTTTCAGACAACCATTGCATGTTATGTTTACAATAATGCACGTTATGTCGACATAAAAAAAATATTGCAAAATAATGAAATAATGCACACACACATCATATATACATAATCATACACTCTCAAAAATACCTATGTACACATTTTCTTACAGGCTCATACATAGAGAGACACACACACACTCATATACATACACACACCCCCAGACATACATACCCACACCCACATACATACACACGTACACCCATACATACTTCCATAAATACACATCTACACACCACACAATATCATTTAGGTACAAATCTTGGAAACCCCATTCAACGGCATAAAACAGTTTATACTGGGGCATTCCGGTGCTATATTCTAGCCCATAAGCAGCAGCAGATGTCGCATTTGTTGAAAACTATAAGTTCGTGACACCGGATTTAAAAAGTAAAATGATATCTGCTTTTATTTTTGTTTCGGCATTTAGTAAGCTGTCAGGTGGACCGTGAAATAATTCCCCTGTTCCGGTAGGTCACGGGCGTTGAAAAGATCAAGGAACACTCCTCTAAGCCGTGATGATCTTTGTGTGCCTCAAGCTCGCCCCGTATTAGACATGGCACAAAATGATAAAATTTACAAGAATATAGAGTTACCAGACTTACCGTTGCCTGTGCTGTCTCGTAACTAGGAGGCGCCACTGGAGCATTGGGATACACTGCTGCAGCGGGTGCATATGGTGCATTATAACCCGGTTGAGGGTTATAGGTCGTACTGACAGCACCAGTGTGCACAACTGTCCCGTATCCTGGGTATTCAGAGTTGGACATGACCACATATCTGTACTCGGCCCTTCTTCGTCGCCAGCACGCCAAGGCACAGGCCAGGATTAAGAAGAAGACAATGACCCAAATCACCCAAAACCCTGGTCAGATTTCATTAAAAAGAAAAAATACATTACTGATTCACAATCAATATTTAACAGACAAATTATGAGCTAAGTTTTTGAGAAAAAAAATGTCAAATATATGCAATGAAAACAATGGACCTGAAATCCCAAGTAATCAGTATGGAAGTTTTCTTACTCCTTTCGCCGCTGAGAAATGGCTGGGTGCAATTCAGTGTAAATGTCTCTTTTCCGACTGTTTATGTGAAGCACATTTAATGCTATTGGCTGAGTTCATGCCTGTGCATATGTTTAGAAAGCTAGGATACAAATACATTAACTAACAACAGCATTGGGGAACCCGGGGGGGGGTGTTCTTTGAGCTAAATAGTTTTTTAAAGCCAAACTGACATCATCAGATTTTTAACCCCATGACAGAGTAGAGGTCACAAAAAACAGCATGAGTAATCTGCATGGTTTTTCAGACCTTGGGATGTAGTCCATTAAATGCCTCACCCTGTGCTGGGCTGAAAAGCATAAATATATCAGCCTAGCTGTAAGCCTCAAGACAGCGTATCAACTGCCCCACCATGAGCAAATGCAAAAAGAATAAAAATAATGATGCCCAACAATGAATTCTTTGAACTGAAACAGACACATCAATCATTAGACTGTTTCACTGTACATTTGACCATGTCAGTTTTAAACTAACCACACACTTCCTTTAGTTTGTATAACATAGGATTGTACACGCACATAGCAACTGCCTAACATATTTTCAATGTATGTTGGTTTTGTGTGTGATAAATTACTTGAAAAGCACAACATAGGCATGGCACATTGTAAGCCAAACTCCCAGGTACTTGACTGTACTACTAAGCCACTGATGACAGCTGTAAAGGGTCATTTTCTCCTTTGTATCTCATTATCATAAACTATTCTGAATGGGTTTTTTGAAGTAAGAATAATATATGTGTGAACAAATGAATAAATTGAGTGTCAAATTGAGGCAAACATGAACTTTGTGCAGTTTGGCCAAAAGCATACTAAGCGAGGAAAACGTGAATGCTAAAGAACAGTCTGGAAGTTCAGGAGGAAAGGAAGAGGCTATTTAAGCCGTGAGAGAATGAGACAGAACAGTCTTATTTTCAGTTTGGTCTTGTGGCAGTTGAAGTGTCTAGGCTGAATGTATCCTGAGAATAACGAGCGAATGTCTTCAACCCACTAGCTTGAAGAAACCTGGCTAATCAATCCGTGACAACATGGAATGTGGAATAAACTGAATCTTTTATTAGCTATTGGGTGTTTTTCAACGTTTCTTCCTGTTCAAGCTTGCTGTGCTGAAGTATCTGTCAATGTGCCATAGCAGACTGCACGATTACAGCCCAAAGAGAGTCACTGCAAGAGCATGTAAAAACTTGTTTAATTTTATTCTGAAGAAAACTGAAACTAACAACAGTTGAATGCTGAATTAAGAATCAACATCATAGCACTTGGGACACTCCCATAAGCGTTCCATCCCCATCTTCAGCAGCAAGTCCACTTGCTCCTAAAGGGCCCTCACTATATTTAGCTTGTCATACATCAGTTCACCATCAAGTGATGCAGAGCTGGCCCTGCTCATTTCCCAACACACCAGCATGAGCTGGAGAAATTATCCAAAGGATGCTAACTACCCAGGACCTCTGAATTGATGCTTGCCACTCTGCACGGAGCATGCCTGTCTCCACTTTTCACAACATGCTCTGTGGGCCAGTTACAATCACGGCATGTGTGTGTGCACAACCGATTCTGAAGCCAGCAAAAGACAGCAGTGACTGCCTCCACCTCCATTCTCAAACTTGACGTTTGATATTCTTTTTATTTTTAAGTAAACTAACAACAGTAGTGGAATCCAATTACTAAACTATGTGGTGTGTGTGTGTGTGCACTTTGTACAGGACAACTACTTACACCACAGCTCATACACATAGGTCTGCCAGCAGCAGCCGATCTCACCATCACTCAGATGACAGCAATAAGCATCAGACCCTGCAACAAAATATCCAGGAGGAAGGTTATTTTAATCCACTGCGCATCAATCAACTCACCAAATGTTTAGAAGTAACTGCTTACATGACATGCTCTTCTTAGTCCCACTGCTTCACATTAAACAGAACTATTCTAATTATTCCTTAACTTTTGTTCAACTGGTGTATAATTTGATCTCTTTTAGAACCAGATTTAGGTGTCCTAATGGAATAATGATACACAATACAAGACTCTTAATGTCTCTTAGCTTCTATTGCCCAAAACTGTCTCCCCTTCGCGAGGTGGACTCTTTTCTATCCAGTAATCCAGTGGAGGGGTGAAGTTTAATCCACAACGGGAAAACTTAATAAAACAACAAATGAGCTAAAAGTAAAGGAATGAGCCTATTTTCCCGACGAAGAGATACTGATGTTGGCGACAAAAGGTGGATAAAAAAAATTATTAAAAAAAACACTATAGGATTACAGTTTTTTCCCTATTATTATTTTGCTATTCCTGATTGCGCAATGCTGGACTGCTGTGTCATCTCTATGCAGAACGTGAGGATTTGACCAAAGGGAGCTAACATGACAAGACCAGCTTGGAGAGACTGGTGGCAACCTTAAAGGCACTGTCCTTCTGTGAACCTGAAAGGACTGAATGTTTAGCATGGTTGATGTTGCAGAAGAGAGTAAAGCTATGACCTGATATCACAGCAGCTGGGTAATTCACATTCATAAGGGCTCTGTCCTCATCTGTAACAGTCTGCAAAGAGTTTCAATGCAAATGGTACCGGTGCAGAAGAAGAAGCTTCTCTGGATGAATATACCACCAGAATCATATCTTTTATTTCAACATTTTTTCCAACATTATAGTAACAACTGTTTGAGACAGACTGAGTCAATGTAAAAAGTCTGACTGAATGAGGTAAACGTGCAAAATGTTGAACTGTGTTATAACATAAGTCTTTCTGATGGCACTACAAGAAAATAACACTTACCATGGCATCTGTACACTCCACAAAATATGTCTGCACACTGTAAGACAAAAGAAATATAACTGACATAGTAAAGTTTGTAACAAAGTTAACATAAATTTGTCTGCTAAATTAACTTTTGATCTTTTACAACTGTTACCCACTGTGTGCGCTTGAAATTAAGAAACAAAATGAACATCATGCACACGCTATACTGACAAAGTCCTTACGTGGGATTAGGTGCATATTTTTTAGGACTCAACAGAAAGTAAAAAAGAATAATGTGGTAAACATTAGCCTGGCTTACTGTACTTCTCCAGATGAATCGATGGCATCTTATTTGATCAGCTGAGTTAAGAATGAAGAAGACACCAAAAATAGATGGCATCTTATTTGATCAGCTGAGTTAAGAATGAAGAAGACACACAAAAAAGATTGCAACAGTAATTGCCTCGTATATTTTGCTGTATCTTGTCAGGTGCATACTATAATAACATTTGACACAAATGAAGCTAATAAATTAATCCTTCAAATTGAAACACAAAATCGACTACATTCAAAAACTGTTTCACCAGGGTAAATGCATGGTGTAGACCATGCCCTTTTGTCTGCATAATTCTGGACTAAACTGAGACAGAGAATGAAGAGAAAGTGCACCATGTGGGTTCATAGGCCCATGTTGTGTGTAAGGAGGGGAAAAAAGGGCAGGGGGGGGGGTGTGGACAAACCTACTGCCCCATTGTGTGGGGGGGGGGGGAGAGCGGAGAGACCTACTGCAACACGCAGATCATAAAAGTTTAATCAGGCTTGTTTTCTTTAAAGTCAGAGTGTGTCACAACCCTATCAAGTACAGTCAGTGTACCACACCGTAAGGTGGGAGTGTTGACATGACACCCCAGGGTTGACACAGAGGTCAGGGCCGTGACTGGTCAAGTCCGTTCTGTGATCGCACGGCGAAACCAGCGCTCAGGATAAAGCAAGAAAGACTGAACTGTGTTTTAGTAACACGATGACTGCTTTTGGGACTGAGCTGGTGAACGGGGTTAAGAGACACGAGGTAGAAGGAAGAAGGGACATTCGGTGTGCGTCGGTCAGGAAGAGAGGACGTTTAGCAAGACAGTTGTGTTATAGGATTAAAGTTAGGATATATCTGTTAGTGACTGGATAGTTTATGTTATAGTATTAAAGTTAGTATATATTTCTGTTAGTGACTGGATAGTTTATGTACAGTTTTGTGTTAGGATAGGATAGTTCTTGTGTAGAGTATTTATGTATATGTGCTGTGAGAGAGTGGCTAACCTGGACACTCTGACCCTGCACTAAGACAGAGACTGTGACAGTTTGATTGGGTCAGCGTGGCGATAGAAGAGAGCGTATCCTGCCGGATTGTGGTTTGTACACCAGAATATTGCCTGTCGCACGTACTGGGGACGGGGCGATTGTAAAGCCCGTTCAGCCAGAGGGTCCAGGCAATAGGTGGCCACACGGCGGGAAGTCAACTGTCTATGTATTACCTGTACTTCCAATAAAGATTGTCGTGTGTGCTCTGTGTGCGTTCGGGTTCAGTGTGTGTTGTAGGTTAGTCTGTCTGTCATAGGCCTAGTTAGCGAGCCACGGACCGGCAAGGTCATACCAGAGGTTTGTGACAGATTATGGGGGCGTTCGTCCTTGGGAATTGAATCTATAGTAGTAGCTAGATAGTAATAGTTGTCCGCGTTAATTGTGAACCCAATGTGCTTGTATTTATTTGTCTAAATAGGAGACATAGATTAGTTTGTATGTTTATCTGACTGATTTATTTTTCTTTAAGTTTTGTCGTTCACTATTGTAGGGCTAACGTGATTTAGTTAATCCCTTAATTTTGATGTTGCTATCGAGTAAGTTTGTGATGGCGTAGCTGAGTTAATTCTCTTAAATATTGCATCGTTGTCCGGGCCTACTCTTAATTTTTGATAGCGACATCGGGGTTGGCTTGGGTCACCCGTAGCGCTATAAAGTGATAGTTTGTTATCGTTTTCGTATTTGTTCCGACTGATTGTAATTAATAATGACTAAATGTGATAGGGCTGCGTTTGCGTCGTGACAGATTATGTGACAAGTTAGTGACGTAGAGGAGAAATAGTTTGACGGACAGTAAAAAGTGTGAGGAAGGTCAAGATTGTGTGCTGTTGTGTGGTTGCTGCCGACATCGATCAACCGAGGCCTGTCGATCTCGGTCATCACCTCATCCTCATCATCCTTTCTGTGGGAGGCCAAGAATCAAGGACTGGAGAGAAGATAAGTTTGTTTTGCTTTTGGTGTATTGTTGTGGTCTGTTCTCCAGCCCTCGAGGGTTCTACGCAGTTGTATTTGAGCCCCTGGCACCGTTCATTATCCTTCTCATTTCTCGTCTGTCCTATTCATCATTTACGTTATTTTCGTTCATTTGTGTAATAATTTTTTTGTGTGCACACATCATCATCCTTCATTCGGAAATTGTAACGAATAAGTTTCGGTGACCCATCCCTTTTCTGTATCGAACAGTCCAAATTGTTCCATAAATATTATTATTATTGTATTGAATTTATTACATTGCTATAGTATTTGCATTGTTTTCACTGATTTCCGGGCTTGCCACTTGTAATTTTTAGTATTTTTGTTCGTGGCAGCTACGGTTAGTCAGGTGATTTGTTGAGTGGTTGTTGATTATTATTTTGAACGAAAGATCATTGTTATTGTAATTAAGATGTCGAGTCTATCTGAGTTCATCGAGATGGCAAAACAGCATGGTCTGACTGGCGAGAAGGCGCTAGAATGGGCAGACAAGAAATATGCCGACCTTCAAGAGAGAAAAGACAGAGCTGACGAGAGAGAACTCAAGAAATTGGAACTAGAAGCCGCTAGTAAACTAAAAGAGATTGAGGCTATCAACATAGAAAAACAGTTAGAAGCCGCTAGTAAACTAAAGCAGATCGAGCTGGAAGCCCAAGCGGCATTAAAAGACAAAGAGGTATCTGCGATGGCTGAGAGAGACAGGATACAGTTGTTGATAAAGAACAAAGAGCTAGAACACACCGCTACTTTGAGACTCAAGAGATGTTATGCAATTCAGACCTAGAGAAAGAAAGACTGGTGATGGAAATAAAGGCCAAAGAGATAGAAGCAACTAGAGATGCTGAGGTGCAAATGCGTAAGGCTGAGATAAAGGCTGCTGAACCTTCGTTCAAAAAGTACCAGGGCCTAATAAAATGTTTTACACAGGGTGATTCCATATCTGCTTGGACACAAAATTTTGAATGTATGGTCAATCACTATGAAGTCCCTTTTAAAGAGTGGTCACTCATTTACCGAAAACATTTAGGGGGGGAACCTTTGAAATTACTAGAGACAATCCCTACTGAAAAACTTGAGGATTATTACTTTGTCAGGGATAGAATTCTCCAACATTTCTCCCTAGATGAGGAATCTTACAGAAATACCTTTAAAAATGTGATTCCGAAAGCTGAACAGACATTTCTGGATTACACGTCTGAGGTGGTATCCACTTTTGACAAGTGGGTAACATCGGCGAAAGTGAACAAATCATACGAGTTGTTAAAAGATCTTTTGATAAGAGACAAGGTGTTGTCAAGTGTCCCGAGCAGCATGAAGACGTTTTTGATTGAGCAAAAACCTGAAACAGTAAAGCAGATGGAAGATGCAGGTGCTGCATACTGGAATGCTCACAGAAACATTTTTAGTTTCAATAAGGGTGCAGATGTAAGTTACGGAGCTGCAGTACAACCTGTATACAGGAAAAAGCAATATACTCACGAGAAGAAAGAACACTCGAGAGAGTACAAGAGTTACAGACCTCTTAGAGATAGAGGACCAATAGTAACATGCCTGTACTGTAAGAGAGATCATGGTCAACGACAGTGGTGTGAGCAGAACCCAAAGTATGAAGATCATTTTCGTAAGAGAGAGAAAGCAATGCAGGAGAAAAATACAGTTAAATACTGGCTCGAGTGTCGATTATGTGACTCCATCGATCACTTACAAAAAGACTGCAAGATGAGAAGAAGACAACATCAGAGTGCGGCTGCAGAAGTATCTGACAGTGGCAGTGATTCTGAAAGCAAGTTGTCTGATGGGAGTATGGCAGATGTACCTACAGCAAATTCAGCTGAGCTTGTGAACTTCTCTGACACAGGATGCCAGACCTACAGAGAGTTTAATGAAGAGAGTAATCTGACCTGTGGTCACAGTGAGATAGGGGATGCAAATGCTGTAACGAGTTTCGATGGCCAGCTGAAGTACAAGAAAGGAGTGTTAATGAGATTCTACAATAAGGGCTCATCCATCTTGACACAGACTGTGCTACCAAGCTTATACAGGACAAAAGCTCTGGAACTAGCTCATGACTCGCCATTTGCCGGGCATATGGGCTCTGAGAAAACTAAACTTAGACTGCTCAGTGAATTCTACTGGCCGGGTTTTTGCAAGAGTGTAAAAAACTACTGCAAATCTTGTCATCTATGCCAAACGATGGTGCAAAAGGGTAAACACCCAAAAGCTTACGTCCAACCGACAGATTTAGCAGATAGACCATTTCAGAAGGTGGCAGTAGATTTAATTGGGCCGTTAAACACAGTCTCTCATAAGGGAAATCGATTCATTCTAACTATGGTTGATTTTTGTTCACGTTGGGGGGAAGCTGAAGCTCTCAAAAACATCACCTCCCAGGATGTGGGAGAGGTTATGTTACAGTGGTTTGCTAGATTCGGGTTTCCAGAAGTCATTTTGTCTGACAGAGGTACACAATTCATTTCAAGCGCAATGCAACAGTATACTAAACTGATGGGTACCAAACAGGTGTTCACCACCCCATACAATCCAGCAGCTAATGGAGTGTGTGAAAACCTAAATGGCAACCTGAAGCGAATGCTAGCCAAAGTGACTTCCGAACGGCCAAAAGACTGGGATGTGTTGTTGCCAACGATCCTCTTTGCATACCGTGAGGTTCCTCAAAGCAGCACAGGGTTTTCACCGTTTGAACTGGTATATGGAGCTAACCCTAGGGGTCCGTTGTCTATTTACCGAGAAGGGTTAATAGGCAAAGTGACTGATGCTAAAGCATTAACCGAATACGAGATGGTTACAAATCTAAGGGATAAAATCATGAATGCATGTTTAATAGCAAAAGACTCTTTGCAACAAGCTGGTACCCATTACCGTGTTTATGCAAACAGAAATGCGAAAACAATCTCACTTGCTGAGAATGAAGAAGTGCTTCTGCTCCTTCCAGACAAGACAGACAGATTGTCAGTAACATGGCAAGGACCATTTAAAGTAGTCAAAAAGTTATCTGATGTTGATTATCAAATCATGTATAAGGGAAAACTTAAAATATACCATGTTAATATGTTGAAACCTTACAAACAACGGGTTCAGACAGCCGAGAGAACAACTGTAGAAACTACTCCATGTATTGCATGTAGTTTAATTAACAAACCAGAAGAGGGTCCATCAAATGAACAAATTTTAACCCCACTTACCATTTCAACTAGCACATGGAAGGAAATAAAAATTTCAGACTCATTAACCACACCAGAGAAAGAAGTAATAAAAGAATTACTTTCACAATTCTCAGACATTTTTTCTGACATTCCAGGTAGATGTACGGCCATTAAACACCACATACAATTGAACATCAAGAAACCGATAAAAACAGTATCCTATTCCCGAACAATACAGAGAAAGACTTATTGATGAAATTAAGATGCTTGATAGAGCAGGCATTATTACCAGATCGAATTCCTGCTATTGTTCACCACTAGTGATTGTGAAAAAAAAAGACGGGTCAATACGGGTCTGTGTCGATTTCAGAAAAATCAACTCTCATACTGACTTAGACGCGGAACCTATACCTAATGCTGACGACCTATTGTCTTTAATGGGGAAAGCCAAAGTCTTTTCAAAACTTGACTTGACCAAAGGCTATTGGCAAACCCCGATGACAGAGAGCTCTATGCACATAACCGCATTTCCAACACCAGAAGGCCTGTATGAGTGGAAATATGTGCCCTTCGGTTTGATTAATGCCCCTGCTACCTTCGTTAGACTCACAAGATTAGTTCTAAAAGACATACCTGATGTTGCTACCTACATAGATGATATATGTATCTTTAGTAATAATTTTGCTCAACATGTAACCACACTCTGAACTGTTTTTGAGAGAATTAAAGAATTTGGATTGACGATCAAACCATCTAAAGTTGAAATCGCTTTTGAAGAAATTGATTTTTTGGGTCATAAAATCTCGAAAGGGATGATAATGAGTGATAAAAAAATTATTTCAAAAATTTTGAATCTTAAAAACCCCACCACCAAAAAGGAAATCCGAAGCTTACTCGGCCTCATCAATTATTACAACAAATTTATACCGAACTTCAGCCAAGAAACCGCCGCTTTCACTAAATTATTAAAAAAGGGATCTTCTAATACAATTGAGTGGAACCGAGAACTAGATCAGGCTTTCACCAAAATCAAGACTCTTTTCTCCAGTCCACCTATTTTAAAACTTCCTAATTTTCAATTGCCTTTTGTTCTTAGATGTGATGCCAGTGGTACGGCAGTTGCGGGATGTCTAATGCAGTTTGATAGCGAGATTCTACACCCGATCTGCTACGTGAGCAGGAAATTGTCTCCAGCCGAAGAACGCTATTCGACGGCGGAACAGGAGTGTCTTGCGGTGATTGTTTGTGTGACAAGACTCAAACGTTACCTTCTGGGCAGACCTTTTGTCCTTCAAACAGACAACCAGCCATTGCTCGTCATTAAGTCTGGTGCCCCAAAGAACAATCGAATCGCCAGATGGGCACTGCTACTGCAAAATTTCCAATTCACCATCACACACATCAAGGGCAACAGCAACAACCTGGCTGACTTATTAAGCCGGCTGTAAAACTATTGATTGCCTAGTGGTATCCTGAAACTGACAGTCTGGTACCTTCAGAAATTTAAAGACTATGTGAAAATACAGTGTCTTCATATATTTATGCCTTCTTGAATGACTAGAAACTGTCTCATAACGGAATTCTACACTAAGTTTCATAGATCCAGTTGTCAAGTAGCAGTGTATACAAGTACTGTTCTAGCCTAAAACCAGTGAACTGAACAATCGTAAAAGATTACCCAACAGGAAGATAGAGGTGATGATCATTCTAAGGACTTCAGCAGAATGAAAAATGTGATGACTGCTTTTGGGACTGAGCTGGTGAACGGGGTTAAGAGACACGAGGTAGAAGGAAGAAGGGACATTCGGTGTGCGTCGGTCAGGAAGAGAGGACGTTTAGCAAGACAGTTGTGTTATAGGATTACAGAGTTAGGATATATCTGTCAGTGACTGGATAGTTTATGTTATAGTATTAAAGTTAGTATATATTTCTGTTAGTGACTGGATAGTTTATGTACAGTTTTGTGTTAGGATAGGATAGTTCTTGTGTAGAGTATTTATGTATATGTGCTGTGAGAGAGTGGCTAACCTGGACACTCTGACCCTGCACTAAGACAGAGACTGTGACAGTTTGATTGGGTCAGCGTGGCGATAGAAGAGAGCGTATCCTGCCGGATTGTGGTTTGTACACCAGAATAGTGCCTGTCGCACGTACTGGGGACGGGGCGATTGTAAAGCCCGTTCAGCCAGAGGGTCCAGGCAATAGGTGGCCACACGGCGGGAAGTCAACTGTCTATGTATTACCTGTACTTCCAATAAAGATTGTCGTGTGTGCTCTGTGTGCGTTCGGGTTCAGTGTGTGTTGTAGGTTAGTCTGTCTGTCATAGGCCTAGTTAGCGAGCCACGGACCGGCAAGGTCATACCAGAGGTTTGTGACAGAGTGCATATGCCCGACAGGTGAAGAAGCAAGTCTCAATACAAGTAAACTAGACCTATAAACTTATAACAAGTTCTGGTTCTTCCTCCACTTCTGGACTTAAGTTGTTTTCCAGAAAAACACATCTAGCTTATCTGCATGGAGACTGTTGGTACTCTGCCTCTCAGACTGATGCACTCAGAATTAAAAGGAAACATCACTAATTTGTGACTTATTTTTCAGGGCCGCAACGAGCTTATAAACACCCCCCCCCCCCACCTCCAATAGTGCTCAAGAATAAGGAAACAAATAAAATTACTGCAAACAGCAAAACAATGGAAGAAACAGACTGTCTGAACTAGGCATAATAATATAAAAGCTAATTGTTTAATGGCAAAATAAATAATTGTGTATATACCCAGCTGTAAGGAAATCAATAAACAGCATAAGCAAAGCAGATACTATAGATTTGTTGGGAAAATAAAACACTGACTCCAAGAAAAGAGTAAATCCAGCACACACAGAGAACTAAACAATGAAAATAACTGACAAACATACAGAAAACAAAAACTATGATTATCATACAAAGCCAATTGTGAAAATTCCAGTCAATAAAAAGACACTTGAACAAGTCAATAGTTTATCAGATCTCCCACACACAAAACCATATTCAGGATGGATAAACTAAACACTTGTTGGCAGGTCACAACATTTAAGTGTAAACATTCACAGGGAAAAGACAAAGATAATGAGTATAAACCCGGGAAATAACTTAATCTACATTGGTTAAACCATAATTCAAGGTGTGTTATCACACACATAGTAGAGTAGCAATGTGGACAAAGCTGGGGGAACAGACAGAGGTATTATAATAAGAATACAAAAAGCAAGAGAAGCCCTCATAGCACTAGGTAATCTGTGAAGGTTGAAAGAAATGTAATCTAGCACCAAAAATTAAATTATATTTTTATGTTAATTAGTGATGTTGTATGGATCACAAACAAGGAGAATGACTTGAGCAATTACAAATAAACTCCAAATTTTCATTAACTGGTGCCGGTGCGCGTTCAGGGGCCCATTTCTTGGGGGGAGGGGGGAGAGAGAACAAACTTATACAAGCATGTCAAAAAAGGCAACTATTTTAGTATTTGCTGAAATCAGATGTGTTGGGCCAAAAAGTGCAGTATTCACTGCTTAGCTATAAACCACAATATAATGTAACAATTGCCTTTTCAAAAATAAAGAAGACAAATATTTACTGATGCTAGTACAGTACAGAACAGAAAGACAAAAGTTATGACAGAACCACTAAACAGAACTTCAACAGAGAACTAAACAATTTCAAGTAAAACAAGAGATGAGGAAAAGATGCTGGCATTGGACTGGACATAAAGAGAAAACCTGATAATAGTAAAACAATGACACAATACAGGCAAAAGAGACAGAGGAAAAATCTAAAGGCATATGAAGAGGCAGTGATGAATAATACAGGGAGTACAAGCAGGGAGGTAAAGGAGATGGAAGGGGTGGAGTGGGAGGGAGTACAAGCAGGGAGGTCAAGGAGATGGAAGGGGTGGAGTGGGCTGAGAAATGGAGAGGCTTGGAGTGGGACGGTTCACAGCCTTTGTTCCAATCATCTTCTTCATCGCATTCACCGGCTGT